GGTACTTAGCACAGAGGCAGGAAAACACAGCATCTCTAACAGAAAACTCAAAACTAGCAGACTTCATAGAAGAACAATTTCATACGATCTCAGAAGCTTTTGAGGGCTTTAGCAAACCAGAAATGTAGTTACAACTTTAGTAGCTTAAAATTTATTTGTGATAACAAGCAAAAAAAAAAAGTATGAAACATTCTCATTTCATACTGATACTCTAAACTTGTCTTTTATTATATACAACAACAAAGAAGGATAATACAAAGAGCCATTAAATTGCAGGCATGCAAACAACATCTAAAGCTTAATTTTTCCCTGCAGTTTGAATGAGCAATCAGATTATTCTCTTGGTCTGAACAGACAGACAAACATGTCCACTGGCACTGGTCTACTAAAAAATAGCACCTTAAAGCTAATTGATACGATAGCTATCATATAAATCAGTACATATGATAGCTACCATAGATATGATAGCATGCCATTGATACGATAGGTATCTTCTCAAGTGCAATACAATAGAATTTATATAGAAAGGGTTCTGCAAAAACTAAAGACCTGTACAAACTACCTTATTCTCCCAACACTCTCAGATCCCTTTCAGAGTCATATAAACTATATTTGCAAACTTTCACATTTAATCTCGTGAAAAAAACAGCTAATTCTGTAGTTACCACAGGGTAACAATATAAGGAATATTTTTGCGCTTTGAGATTTAAAACAAACAAACAAACAAACAGAAAAACATCAAAACACCACCACCACCTAACTTAATGCTCCATGCTCTGCTATTTTTGCTTTTCACAGGCAAAATGTTCCCTGGAGGGATCAAAGCTACTGCAAGACCTAGTTTTCCACCAGCCATTATCTGAAATTGTCAGAAGACCAAGGCTGAAATCTGCCTCTGGACTCTTCCCCAGCTGATTGAAAGGTTTACCAGTGGCATCACTGGAATGAAGATTTCGTCATAAATCCTTGTGACTTTAGGGCGTGTAGATTATTAAAGAGACATCATACTACACTGCAAAATTACAAGGCCTTTACAAGGAACAGTTGAATTCTCTTAGAGACTCTGGACAGATGGCAGGATTTGACTATCAATAAATCAGCTTAGTCAAATTCATTATTAGTTCTCCAGCCCAATATTCACTGTGTATTCCTAATGAAATTGCTGAATGAAAAGGGCGATGTGCCAAGCTTATAGCAAGTAAACAACAGAAATCCATTTTCCTCCAAGATCAACCTCCTCCCAATGTGCTGTAAACGCTTATACAAATTAAAAAAAACAAAGCTCCTCTTGAAAAAGCAGCTCATTACAAAACACAAAAGATCAAAACCTAAATATTACTTTTTTATGTGTTTACTATTTAATCAAGTGTCTGTTAAGCTGTTTCTTTGTGGCTATCAAGTAAGTCAGGAAAATCAGGAGGTCAGACTGACTGTCACAGAACCACCACATCAATGAACAAGCATAATGGGCTTTCAGGTATCTAAAATAACAGGTCCCTCAAAGGCTAGACGTGCAGCTTCTCTGTGAGATAATTCCATCAGCAAGGGATGAGCGCTCCACTTATCAGAACTGGCACATAACGCTCAAGCACTACCTAATGCTCACAAGAAAAGATGCATGATTCTACTTTGATTTCTAAAAGGCAGTCCTGAGTTCCTGTTAATTCTCCTCTTAACAGCACAAGGAATCAAAAGCTTTCATAGAATTACCAGATTTGTAACCAAGCATTGACACAGAATTTTATTTTTTCAATGCACAATCAAAACTTATTTTGATGGAAGTCACACTCCATCATATTTTGTTAAGAAAAATGATTCTCATAAAAACATTTTTGCCTGTCCTCTGTGCAATGACATTTCTTCTCCCTTGTCACTGGAAGGTTAATGCTCAGGAAGTAGAATGAAGTGATTATCACTGTGCATGACAAGGACTGTTTGCTAAGCAATTACCCCTCAATCAGAATGTTACTTTTGTTTACACTCAACAGGGATAAGAAAAATGAATCCTAGATATTAGTATATGCTAAATACACCCATTTTATACTGCTTGAATTTTGAGCAGGCACGCACTTTAATGTAGGTGTGGCATTATTTTTAATGCAAAATTATGACACCTCTTCTGAAATCCTAACATTCTGTGCTATTAAATACATGCTCTCATTTTCATCAGCATGAGAAAGGTGGTTGATTTTGTTTGCATCAATACAATGAACTAACAAGCATACTCTTATTTGTACCAAAGCAAACACAGTATCCTTCTAACCTATATATTTATTTCTCTAAATTATTATCTGAAATATAGTCAATATTCCAAGTTCCCAATGAAAAGGTAAAAAAAAAAGCAATTTTAGCTCCATAGACAAGTACTATAATTTTCACCATATGTTAAGATTTTTAATAATTAGAGATACATATAACTGATAGCTCATGAATATAGTTTGCATACAGAGTACACAAAGTCTCCCTAAAACATTTCTACAATTGATTCCTTTTGTGATTTGACATGAGGTGAATGGTGTTGAACAATTTATTCACCATTGTTTGGGACAGGCTATTTAATTCATTTCTGACTTTTAAACAAGTCTGAGAGGTTGCATATATCTTCATATTAGCATAGATACTGGTTACCTACATTAATCATACACAACAGGCTTGTGCTCAGTTAGGTGGGTCTTTTCAAATACACAGCAATTAAACCCTCCTACATAGGAATCACTTAGCATTCACAGAATACTTTCTGTATGAGTACTAAATGTTTACAAATGAGGCTGGCATATTTTATATAACCTTCACCACCTTGGTTGGGACAACTAAGGAGTGCTATCATTATGTACGTAACAGAGTCATAGGCAGATGCAGATTAAATAAGGCCACCTTATTCCATACTCCCATCTTCCTCTTACGGCTATGGCATCTGGACTCTGAACTTGACACACCACTCATATTGCTAGCTTGAAACAAATGGTGTACCAATTCAGCATAGTTTACACGTTTTGCAAAAATGTTATGATTGTTATTAGTTACGATTTTAAGAAGTTTCCCACATACATTCAATCAGGCCACACTCTTTTCCACAGGAATCAAAAAAGTGAGACGGGCTGTCTCTGCTGAATTCCTAGTTCTGAAAAACACAAACATCATCAACTCCAAGTCTAAAGCTGTAGCCCCGAAGGAATTTTGGAGGAGTAAAAAGCCACTGACTCCTTCACAGCCTCCTTCAAAATGACAAAGATAAACAGAAGATTCAATATGCTAATGGTCACAGTGCTGCTTATTAGAGTCAATTTAAAATGAAGCTTCTGTCACATGGGAAATTCTAATCTGCTTTCCTTTCCAACTATCAACAAAAAATATTTTTAAAAGATCAAAATTTAAAAACTCTTTTCCCATGCAAGATGAAGAATAACATATCCAGCTGACTCTCACTAGACATTTTCATTTGAAACAAAAGTACTTTTACTTTCCCAAAATGAAATATTTTATGTTTTGTTAAAAATATTTTAACAGGAGCTTATTATTATCTGTATTTTTAGTGTTAGGGTCTTTCATTACCTTCCGTTAAAAAACGCAAAGCAAAATTGTAAACAATATTTAGTATGCAAAGCAAATGACACACTAGATTATCATTTGTAAATAAGATGCTAGATTTATGAACTGAGATTTTACAAATGCTGAAACAAAACCAGGATGCATTTGCTTAAACTGAACCACGCAAAGAAACAAAATGTGCCTACTTCCAATTTCTGTACTTAAATCAGTTAGGAATTACTCCTTATATTGTACCCTGCAGAAAGGACATTTTCTTTACCATAATTATTATTAATCCTTGCAAAAATCTGGATGGCCTTAGCGTTTTATCATTTCTAGTTGAATTAGCTGGCCTTTCATTTTATCTTTAAACCAGCCATTTTCATGCACAGTTTATCTATGTATAAACCATTCAGTAACAGCAGTTTGTCACCTTCATATATATTATTGATGAGAAAACAGACGACCCGCCAATTAAAGTGCATGCACTTGCCCCATCTCCAGGCTCAGCCTGAGGTACTGATGAAACAGTTGAAGTAAAAACTCAGTTTTACATTTCAAAGAAAGTTCAAAGGCAGTGAGAAGAGACTGCCCTGCAAAGGACACAGAAATTGTATTTATTGCTGGAAAAATTTATATAAGGTGTAGACTATATTATTTTCCTCTTATGATAATAAAAATTATACTATGAGTCCACATCTTGTTCAACAAGATGTTCTACTTAGTTTTCTTTTCAGTCTTGGATTAAATCTATTAATCTGACAAAATGATAATTTGAACATTCTTACAACACTAGTCACAGCTTCGTATCAAAAATACAGAGTCAAACAATGGTCAAGATATAAATCAAGCAGATTTAACTGGATTTGTGTTTCTGTTGCTACCCCGGCAAGATATAAAACAATATTTCTTGGGCCCCAAAATATTGCCAAGCGGTAAATCAAAGAAAATAGTAAAAGTATCTGAAATCGGTATGTCTTTAGATGGACAAACAACCCTGAGAACACTTGTCTTCTCTGCCTCCATCCAAATTCTTGGGTTGTCAAAAATCACCAAGCCATTCCATAAACATTAAGTATTTATTCCATGACCTACTAGTACTTTCTAAACTAAGCATAACAAGATAATTTATCCCAACAGAAATTATCTAAAATAAAATATTCTGCTAAAAATATGTATTTTAAAGAAATTAATATCAAACAAGATTACATTGGCTGCATAACATCTCTTTAACCTTGTTTCTGGAAAACCACATGGCCTTTCTTTCCTCTGTTTCTGAACTTAAGACTAAATATCCCATGTTAAGACACATTTATGCAGCTATTAATGAGTCATAAACACAACACACATTTCACAGTACAACTTTGCAATGATAACTCCACACTAGAAATGTACCACATTTACACTATAAGTTAATGAAAAAGAGCTGAGCTAAATCAGCACTAGCAGAGAACAAAAAATACTTCTCTTACCTCCATTTCTGTGCAGTGTAAACGGCCCGATTTATCTATAATTGAAAAAAAAAAAAAAAAGTTTTCAGATTAAGTAAAAGACGATGGACAAAAAAACCTAAAAACTTGAGTCACTTTTTTTTTGTTTTGAGTAATTGCCAAATATTCTTTGCCTTACTTTAATCACACATTTCAGTAATGTTTCCATTATATGCATGACAGAATTAACAACAAGAAGGCCCTGCCCTTTTTATTTGGATCCTTCACAATACTCTCTTTTAAAAAGATGTGTCTTTAATGCCTGGATTCATTATTTAAATTGTATGACTGATGCTTGGCCATGGAGGGAACATGAAAACATGTTGGCTTAAAATTAAGCAGCAGCAAATAATTATTTCAAGAGAAAAAACAACATTAATTCATAAACCAGGGAAAAGCCACTGTTTCATCTGATACTTCTGGGATATCAAAGAGTTCAACAACAACATGAAGTTCAAGCAAATTAAAGTTGAAACATTACTGTAATATTTTTGTAAGTCCCTCTTGTCAATTTTTGCATTTCCTCTGAGTTCAGAAACATCACTATGGAATTTATATAATACAGAAAAATTAAGTTTCTGAATTGTTTCATCAAATTGAAATATCAATTTTCTCAAAGACAAAACACTTTGGTATAAAAAGTGTAAGTGGCTTGACAGATTACAAAAAATAAGACTGAAATTTCGCAGCACATTAGGAAGATACCATTTCACTAAAAGCAGCAAGATTATAATTTCAAATTAATAATTCATATCAAAGTAGGGTGAAGTAATTCTGACAGGATGATTTTCTGTTGGAAAAATGATAATCAAGAAAGTCAAGTATTCCACAGAAATACATCCATTTCAAAGGGGAGATACCGAAAACTTTAATTTCAAAACAACAGATACTGAATTTTACTCTGTTTGTCTTTGCTTTTTGGCTGGATTGCACCTACACTGCTAATCTAAAATTTGCGAGTTTGGGCCTGATGGCACTCACCCTTGAAAATGCATGACACGATTTTGAGTCCCCACGTACTCAAAAACTAGAACGGCGCGCGTTCGCTTGACTGTGCGTACACTGAGAGCGTACGTTACAGGTGATGGCTGCTGAACACCACCCAGTGTAGCTGAAGGATTTATTGCAGTAGTTAGGAAGAGCCTGCAATTTGTAGCCATAACTGGAAGGACTGTTTTATCAGATTGCCTGGCAAGCCCAAGGGGCCTCAACCAACTGGTTAACGTAATGTCTGCACAAAGGAGTGATCGCGCCGACTTCGTACGTTAAATCTGAACGGCATGCAAAACTGTCGCAGTAGGGAAGAGTCACCTGCTTAGAAGATTAATTTTTCATACTGAACTGGTCACCTTCTCTTTGAAACTAAAGGTTAAACACATCTTGGATGAATAAGGAACATCTACCTAACACAGTGAAAGTTATTTACCTTCATTTTGAATTGTTGCCAATGCAAGCAGAATGCTTCGCACTGGTGTCTGACTTCAAAATGAAGAACAGAAGTGTGACTTAAAAAGGCAGCTTTTGCATCACGTATCATCTTTTCAAAAGGACTGGTGATTCTGGTTGATTCACTTCAAGGTCCACATAAGAGACATTTTTTGTTTAAAATGGTAACGTTCGTGTGATTGTTATAAATTATAAATGGGAGAAATTTACTGAGAACTTTTTTGAAAATCCTACGATTATTAGCAGATTTATGAATATTAGGGGCTACTTCTGTGAAACTGAAATGACAGATGACCAAAACAATGTACCTCCATGATACAAGATGATACAAGACTAATTCACAGAAATGTAGTTAAGATGGGGGGGGGGAAGTGTGCTGCCTTTTTTGGAAAAAAGTACTTTTTTTTTTTTTTTAAGTTACTACTTCAGAAAAAAGTAGTAATTTTAAACCTATAAGAATGCAATGGCATACAGAAGGCCACCAGTGTTTGCAATTACTGATAATTTAAAATATCTTGACTTACCCCTCCTATGGTCTACTGGGACAGGAGTCAAACTACCTACTAGATCCTCTCAGTAGCACAGACACAAAGCACTCATTGCTACTCCTCATAGCAATGCTGAGATCCTATGAAGATCCTTTTAATAGAAGTCCTAAGCAAGTCCTGAAGCACAAAACAAATAAATCGGCCCAGACCAAAACAAGTAAGGCAAAAAATTGTACTTCTGAAAGAAACAAGAAGCTTATCTCACACCCTCTTTGGCAGATCTTCTTTGATAAACTTCCATGAAAGCTGTTCTTCAAGGAAAAGCACTCAAACTTTGGAAATCTTCCTTATTTCATATACGGTACTATCAAAATTTACTACTGCTTTCAGAGCAAATCATAATTCATTTTTTGTTTTGTTATTAAAAGATGTAGGGAACATCTTAAACTGGATTATTTATTCCTATTATTTGTGAAGTGGGCAACAACACAAGAGAAGGGCAACATTTACACCAGCACTTTAAAAAGCAATAGCGTTGTCATGATTCCACGTGCTGGGGAAGAAAGGGGGAATACCAAGTAGTTTAAGTCTCACACCAGCTCAAACGCATCGCAGACAGTAGTCTAGACAGCTGCAAGCTACTAACTGACTTACACCATTTTAATATTATATTCCGCATCATGGTAATTATTAACTATACCATTCCATATCCCTCTGTACCCTGAGTCCAGCTATACACTTAACAAATTTCCCTGAGCTGTCTGCAACGACTTATGGGCCCACTCCTTCAGGAATTGCCCACATTTCTGAAGAGATCAGCATTAACAGTATTGACCCAAGAAACATGCACTTACTTGCATCTATCAAGACTGAAATTAATTTGCTTTTCTATGGCCCATGCAAGCCAATTTACTTATACTGGCTTTACTTATACTGGCTGGGAGTAGAAATTTCTTCTCTCTTCAGCTGATATGACTGAAAAAGCAGAAACTCTTTAATGTAGCCTAAGGGTCACACTTAGACTGTATTCCCTGTAAGAAGTCATAGAATAGTCTCTGTCTGCAAGAAGTATTAAGTGCTTATCTGGTAAATAGATGAAGACTTACAAAGTTATTTAAGATGCTGCTTCTTAACATCGATCCAGACTTCACAACCATTCAACTAGATACTAATCTGTGTAGCATCTTCACCACTCTTACTACCAAAAAAAATTCAACAGTATTTTTCCATGACAGCTTTCCAATAGTGACTAATGCATTCATTACTAGTAAATAGCGTAACTTTAACTGTCAAGTTAACTTCAGTTTATAAACAAGCTACAGTTTGGAAGATTATATGATCACTGAAATGCAAAAAAATGAACAGTTTTTGTAAGAAGAAAAGAAACTTAAATTGGAGGTTTGCTATATCTCTGAAAACAGTCTTCAAAGAGTCCTATGTGCCACCAAAAAAAAGAAGAAACCCCAAACCTTGACATCCATTTTTCATTCCTCAAAATTTCTGTTTGAAAACTATTCTTATTTCAAACCCTCAACAAGAGGAGTCATGCCAAACTCTCATCAACCATTAGGGCACGCTGTCTTATCCCTCAAGGCAGGAGCTTCAGGCTGCTATTTAGACCGGAAAAAATAATTCTTTTCACAAAATCTCTCAGAATGCTGTTAAAAAAAGATTATACTCAATTTATCTATAGCCCATGCTTCACTGAAGCACAATTTCCCTACCTTCCAAGGATTAACAGGTCACGGTTAGAAAGGGTCTTCATAGATTTAAAAACAAATAGCACGCATATCATGTACTGCTGCCAATAGTAAGAAGCACACATTTAAGACTGAATTTTAAAAGCAAAATAGGTAATTCAGCATGTTAAAATGGACTGACACAGGATATTTGTAAGAAAGCATGCAGGATGTGCAAAACCATTTGCACTCCTCTATCCGAAGAAAAATTAAGCTATGAGTTGACGTTAGTGATTTGACACCACAATCACGTGGCCGCTGTTTCAGCTATAACCAGCTGCTCTAAGAGCCCTGCAGCTTAGAGCCTGAGAGCATCTTCCTAGCTTTCCTCTAGTGTCTCAGATTCCTCTGCATAGATCCAAAAGCATTTGCTTCCAGACAGCTTCTTGCAGAATTGAAATTATTAGCACTGATTTTCAGGCAACAGTGTAGCTGATGTACGCATTTGCAACAAACCTGAAACTCATTTTGTGTTAAAGATTAATATTCTAATTAAATGCCACAGCCCATTTCTGCAGGTTTTGGGTGAAACCAAGCTGCTATTTCCACGACAGCAGAACTCAAGCTGCCTTCAGGAAAGACAGCCACTGCCCAGACATACTGGACGACAGTGGAAGAGGTGGCCGAAGAAGGAAGATGGGCTGATCGAAGGAAAGAGAGCAAGGGAGAACGCGGGAGTCACTAACACAAGATCCTTAAATTGAACAGTCTTTAGTCAGGCCCCCAAAATTAACGGTAAGTTGAATTTGTATTTGCTTTCTAGCTTTTACGTCTTCAAGAGGCACTGTAGCTACAATAGTAGGCTTTTCCCTGCCCTTCAGAGAATGAGGAACTCCTTTAAGAAAAAAAAAAAAAAGGAAAAAAAAGTGCAGACTCACATTTAATCATCTGATTGCAGGAACTGGAGCATTAGTTACCAAATCTGACAAGATTGTCAATACAAGTGTCAGGATTAGTACCAACAAGAGGAAAGGGAAAGAATTAAGAAAGCAAAGGCAACCAAGCAACATAAGGAAAAGAGATGAATATGCAAAGAACAGGATTCATAATTAAACGAAGGGAGAGGAAAATATTGATGTAGCAGGAGTGAGCCAGACTTCTGGCAGAGGACAGATATTACAAGATTAACAGGAGGACAGAGCAATCTTGCATGATAGAAAGAAACAGAAAAAAGTGAAAACGACAGAGACAAGTATAGGTAAAGTATAGCTTGGGAGTAAGAGACATCAGGCTGCAGGGAAGAAGGTCAAGAAAAGCAAGAACATGAGGAAGTTGAAGGAAGCAGACTGGATTAGGAGAGGTAATTGGACCCCTCGGAGCAGCGAGCATGGAGACCCATGGTTTTAAGTAAAAGACTTAGCCTTTGAGGATCAACATATCCTTCCTTTAAACTGTGTAATTACAAGGCAACAAGAAATGGGGTGAGTTTTTACAGCTTGTGGCTTTTTGGATCTAACTCATGATTTCTGTATCAGCCTACAGCTGATGATTTAGAAATGGTATGCCTCATTTTTCTACTTGGGAGAAGAAAGAGGAAAGAGAAAAAAAATTGTAACAAAATACAAGGAGAATTCTTAGAGAAGGTACTAGACCTAAGGCGGCCAGGACTTCCCTTCCCTGCGTCAATCTTTTTTCATGCCTTCATCTTTCTCCATTCAACACTTCACTGAAGTTACTCCTCATTTTGTACAGTCATAAGCAATCCTCTTGTACATTGCACAAAGCAAAGGTAATGACTAAGAGGTCTTCAGTGTTAACACCCAGTTAAATTTTGTAATAAAAATTATTTTAAAATAATATTTTTTAATTCCAAATTAACAAATCCATACTACCTTAGTACTACCTTATAAGATGTAATTAAATGGTCGCTCTTTGTCTTGTCCCATTTCTAGCCCACAGAAGGAAGCCGGCTGTGGTCACCAAACAACTCTTTCTACGTTCCACTGCTCACTCTCTTTAGCAAACCTCTAAGTTTACCTAGAGGTATCACATCAGTTTTCGTTATTCTAAGATAAATACTGTGGTAGATATGCATCTCCAAGTGCTGCTGAGCTCTATTCGTAGCTGCCAGTCTCTTCTGCAGACGCTTAAGTACAGATACTGCGCTCACTTTCCTCTGGCCTGTCCACATATCAACCCTTCCCAAAAAATGTGAATCTGCAGAGTTCATGTGTCTCAATTTTTTTTTTTTTTTAAAAAAGTTCTGTTACTCTAATCGCATTCTAATTTTTCCTGGAGCTATCCACTTGCTTGCTCATTCAACAAGTATGTGTGCTTGTGGCAGAATTCTGACTCCTTTGAAGTCACCAGTAGTTTCTGACATCATGTTTGATGGATCCAGAGTTTCAAGCAGGTCACAGCTTTTCTAAATTGATAACACAGTACTGTCGGATCTGTTAAGAATTTTCACCAGCTGTTAATAAACTCTCTCAAGTAGATTAAAAAGTAGTTCTCCTAATTCTTCTCCACCTCAGCTATGTCTTTGCAGTCTTGTATTTACACTGTACAAACTGACTCATCTCCTTTTGTTCCTCTTAAAATGCACAGTAATAAAATTCAATAACACACAGTTGTGTGTTTCATGCAAGCTAGCTTAAGGTTTTATCAGGAATAGAACAATATTCGTTTTGTCTCCTTACCGGATCCAATGCTGTAATGTGATAAATTAATTCAGAAACAAAGAGTGAACACTCTCCAGTTTCCTTTTAACAGACATTATGGAAAAGCTTCCCCACTTTTATAAAGACACGTTCATTGCCACATGGATCCAGGATTTTCTGTACCTTTAATCCTCTTGTCACCTGCAACATACCTAGCGCACACTTGGCAAATGCAGTCACGCTCGGGTCAGACTCATTCACAACACTGTTGCTGTGCGGGTCATTTTCACTGCCTGTCGCTCTGATCACATCTTGCCCTCTGAATAGTCCTGGTAAAGGCACGCACTCGCTCACTCTCTCTGTCACATCATACACTGCTACCGTCTTCATTTTCAAAGCCCTTCTCATGCTACCCCAGTCCTACCCATCATCTCTCATTGGGTACTGTGGGGTAAACTGTCACCTCCAGCCAGCCCCTGAAGTTGGACTCCATTACCCACTTTTTTTTTTTTTTTTTAAAAAAAAAAAAAAAAAGCATCTTTGTTCTTTCTCCAGTGATGCCCCACAGGGACATCACATTAACTCTCCGCAACATGATGGCAGATGTCTCATTTTTCATTCTACTCTTCAATCACTGTTAACAATGACGACTGCAGTTCCACTTTCCTTTTTACAGCAACATTGTTACTGCACTGGTCAAGAAAACTTCCATTAAAGTACAAATGTGTTATCTTTTACTTTAAGTCGTTAGGAACATCAGGAGCCCACAATTCCTCAAAGTTCTTTGCTCCTAAGTTTTCCTTAAGAACAAATGCAGATTTCAGACAACAGCAAATTATTCCTTTTATTCCTTCATTGCCTATTTACCATCTTCAACATTTCTGCATACAAATATAGGTAACCGAGTTGGCAACTTCCTTCCATTTCTTTTGTGTGGGCATTTGGAATATGCTTTTTTTTTTTTAGCCAAAGACATTATTTTGTTATGTTGGGATCTTTTCTTTGCTTATTTTGTCCTCCCCCCACCAGAGCTGTCTACAATAGGGTCCCTAGCCATCTGCCTACATTCACAGAGAGCCCATGTAACCTCCAGTGCACAGGATGCATCAGCATAAGCCATGACTGGAAGGCTTCCAGTTCACCCTTACGTACTGGGAACCACAGTGATGGCAGAAAACCTGGCATAAATAAGGCCTAAGCTTTCTCTCTTCCACAGATCAGCAAAGCAGGCGAGCAGAGATAAAGTATCAACTGACTGAGGCTCCTCTCTGCTGTCTAGTGCCATTTTCTTCCTACCTTGACTTCCAACATTAACGTATCTATATAGACATCTATATATATCTATCTTAAAACTCTTGCAGGAAAAGTTGAGGCTCAATACATCAAACCTTACTATTTTTAAATACAGATGTTTCTGAACACTCTTGAACAAAATCTGAATTCAGAGCGTAATTAAGTCTTAATTCTAGAGGTACTATTTATTTTAGCAGTATTCATAGCAACACTTGTTTTGAATTTTAAACAGCAAGCAAGGCTACTCCCATCCATTATCTTTCAAAAGGGTCAATAAAATTAGAAGTAAAATGTCAGCACATTCATTTTCCTCTAAAAATCCTGCATATTTTTCCTTGGTGTTCCACAAGAGACTGACAGATGAGAATGTCTTGATGCACACAAGCTAAATTTGCATTTATTCATCCTATATTTCTCCATGCTGCCTTCCAATACCTGAGCACACAAGGGAATAAGAAGGACATGAAAGTCATTAAAACTGCCAAGACAACGTAAGCTATTCCTCTCCAGTGTGTCTCACTCTGAACCCTCTGAGTCCTGGGAAAGCCACCACACAGTCAACTTTTCTGTGACCTTTTTGATTCGAAGCCAGAATACTCCATGCATTATGCCCTCATGCTGAACACCTGGCAGATTTCCAAGAGAAAAATCTGCATAGTACTTGCTTGTGATAAAACCAGCAGTAATTTCCCTCTGTGCTTTCTCCTCTAGGGCTGGAGGACAAGGTAAAAGAAGGGCTACCGACACTACCCGCAGAGGCACGCTCTCAGGAGGGAGAGGGGAGGCCGAGGAGTGCAACAGCTGGAAGTCAGCACGGTTTGGTTTTCCAAATACCCACTTCTGCCCCTTTCCGAGATCCTCATGGCCGTTCCTCTTCAGGAGCTCATGCAATGCCCAAAATCAGTGGCTGCCTTTGCTAAGTCAGGGATCTGGCACCAACAAAACACACAGGGAAAACTCTCAGTTTTTCCAAGCCTGCTCATCCCCAAAACCGTCCTTGTGGGAAAGGAGGCGGCACAGCCAGCGCGCCGAGAAGCGAGAGCCCCTATCCGGCTTCACAGCAACAATGCGAGCCTGATGGCATTCTGCTGCTGCTAAATACTGGGCATGAGGTCGATTGCCAGCTCTTGTGCGGGTTTTCTACTCCTGTATCTCTCACTTCATTATTGCTTCAAGTTTATAAAAATGCTTATGAGTACTATTCCTCCGCTTGGAGGAGTCAAACCACATGTTTACACCAAATGTTTTAGCTTGTTCAGAAGTTATTTTTTATTGCATCTGGCACTTTACTAGATGCCACTGTTAGCTCATTTCACATAAATTGCAAGTAACAAAGAGACGGCTAAAATACCCATTAGGTAAAATACATTCTACTCTGTATCTCCAATTTCATCGTGGGTATTTCTAAGCAACCCACATTTCTGTGGTATTTAGATGTCAGACAGTTACAGTGATTCATATTAAGATGACCACAGTGAGCTCTTCATTTTTTGCATATTCATGTTTATTTCTTACTCACTTCAGTTCTGGCAAAACGATAAGGTTTGCATCACACCGTGAAAACATCGTTTCGTGAGAGTCTCCAAAGCAAACTCTGTGACACAGCTGCATTTGCTCCTGACTTTGCCCGAGCTCCGCTGACAGGCATGACTGATCACATCGTTCTTCGCAATCCTGAACAAAGCCTGAATGTTCGCTGCCCAAAGACACCATTCTTCGGGGACTCCTTTATTTGCCAACATAGGATTCTGTTGTTTACAAAAATAGAAACTAACAGCCAATATTTGTTCCTGTGAATTATCCAAACCTATGCACCAACCTACAGCCATACATTTTTTTATGTATCGCTATAACAAAATAGCTTTACAGCTCAGAGCGTTAACCCGCAGAACCCCTATTCCTCTAACAAACCTCCTGACACAGGCATTTAAATCCAAGTTGTCTGAAATACAAAGGCAGGAAAACAATTAGCAGGAATCCTTCCTGACCCTCTTCTTGCCAGGGATTCAGGTAATATCAATGCTTATGTGAAAATGAACAACTAAGCGACATTTTCATTCTTAATCTTTTTACTTCTATTTAACCAAAACCTTATTGATTTTTTTCTTTAAATAAGATAACCGAATATTAATAGACCACACAGATAAAACTGGAAAGATCTGAGAATGTCTCTGGTTTTGGTTAAGGACAGGGATTGAACTCCAAGGTTGTTTTTCTGCCCCGGTATCAGTGAAACTCATCTTTGTTTCCTATCTCAAGGACATTTTATTCAATTTCTAGGTATTTTTACTTGGAATTTCAAATATTGCGCTTTAACCAGAAAACTGCTTCACAAGAAATGGCTTTGGAAAAGTACCATCAGTTTCTACATAATCAGTACTTCTTTTTAAGAAAACTGTAATTTGTATCTCAAGAGTAAAATTAATGTGGCCAGACAGCTTCAGGGCCTATGCTAGGATGTATTGCTCCCCAAGTCATAGCGCCAGGGCAATGGTTCTTCTTAAGCTCTCATTGCTACTAAGCAGAATACATGAGCCTAAGAATAAATACCAAGAGGCTCGAGCTGAAATTGGCTCAGAAAGCTCATTAATCATCACCTAAGGACACTGCAGTGAGCAACAAGGAAAAGAACTGGGACAGTTCAAAAGATACCAAAGAGAAGCAAGCCTCCTGTCAACTCTTCAATATTCAGTATAGTGAATTACCAACATTCACTGTATCACACACACGATGTTTTCCAGTGAAAACCTGCTACCACAGGTTTGGTTCCACAAACCAAAAAAGAATAAAAGCCAACTAACTAGGACCACCTTTGTTGCATGTTGACAGTTACTCCCACGAACACACAAAATCCTTTGTGAAAGGAAGGCTGTGCAATGGCCTATATTGCAGAAGTCTATTCAAAGTTAGGGAAATGAGGAAGACCAAGAGCAGGTAGAGGACCCCAGGAGGAATACTGCCTTCTTTCAAATCCAGGCACCTACCAGCCTGTGGCTGATGCAAAAGTGGGATCACCGAGTATGGTTTAGGAATGGACATCTGGCAGAAATCTCCCCTCCTCCCCTTTTCTGTTATAGGCACTGGAGGGGGTACTCTCCCTTGGTTATCTCCCCCCTCATGCTTTCCTGGGAGGTCTTAGCAAACTGGTTATCTTTTTTTTATATACACATACGTACACACACACACATATGTACATACACACACACACATATACACACACACACATATATATACATACACATACATATACACACTAAGATTTTCAAGAAATAAGCACACATATGTGGTGTTAACTGATATACAACACAATACATACAATAATAAGGTAAAAAAAAAAAAGAGATCAAGACAAAAAAAGTCAGGGCTGGAAGATAAAAAAAAAAAGTCTCATCTATCCAAAGATTGAAAAGTATTATCAACATATACAGGTTAGCACATGTTAACTAAAACATTTTAAAAAAGACTAATGCAGATGTGGCATTCAGCTTTAGCATAAACTAAACATGCTGGATGTGAAGGGCCTGAACTTTATATCCAGATATATCCAACACCTTCCTACAGGCCATTAAAGATGTACTGTAAGAGGAAATAGAATAAACCCACAAATAGCAAAGAAAAAACAACAAAAGAAAGAAATACATAATAAATCAATATATTTCCTACAGTAGGAAAGAGAAAGGAAGAAGTCTGATATCATCTCAAAACACTGTAAGTAAAAGCAGCACACAATATGCAACACAGAACTCTTCACTGCTCCTGTGACATGCAAATGCCTTGGTCAGGAAAGTATTTTCCTGGAACTTCTGGGTGTTGGTCTGGCATTTCATTACATTACAATAACCTATTTTTTTAAATAATTAAAAAAGCACATCAGATCACATTTAAATGGAAGTCCTTATTAGACTCTTTCCAACTGTGGAACAAAATTATGTCCCTTCTTCCACTGAGTATATTTTGATATTTGCACGTACCACTAGCTCCAAACTGCATTACTGCAAATCTCTGCCAAAAGACTTCTCAGGCACTCTATTAAAAGGCTTCATTAAATTGTAACACCAGGCATAATATCCACGTTCTAAAGGCTGCAGGCTCAATTAATCCCATTTTGTGAATTT